CAGAAACGAAATTCCAGCGAAGAAGGAATTCGCTTGAATCAATTTGACTATATTCAGGTACAAACAGAGAAGGATTAAATAGTTCTAGCTAGCAAGAACCTTGGGAATCAACCTGGGAACAACCAGGGATGATCCCAAATAATTCCAAGCAACAGAACCAACCTGGCTGGACAAAATAGCAGGTGGTAGGTTGGTAAACAACCTCTGGTTCTGTTTTTCCAACCTGGGAAAACAACAACCAGGTTCAGGTTCTAAAAACAGAACCTGTTTTGTCTTTTCCCAACCAGCCAAATGCTGGTTCCGCTGGTTTCCACTGGCCTTGTAGCATGCAGATACAGACAAACAACATCCAACCTTCACCTAAATTGTACCCCTATAGTGCCTTCCCTGCTACACTATAGTTAACCAAACAAAACAGTACAATTTCGAGTTGGATAGAACTGAATCTGCGCAATCAACTCAACCGAACTGCAAAGCTTCCATCTTGGGTTCCTTTGCGAGCTCGTCCTTTCTGCTTGCACTGTTCATAACGCATACAATGTTGTGCCGAAGCGCACATTGCGCGAGTACCTGCAAATGCATCAAGCAAAAAATGCGAAAGCAAACAAACACACGAACACACCATTCACACGCAAATGCATTCGCACACGCATACTCGTACAAACAGACGGCAGGATGTCGTGCAATGTGCATTTGCACCCAACACGTATGCTATTGATATTATTACACTCTGCATTCATATCCATGCAATTCAAGCACTAAACAGATTTACCTGCCGCATGGCGGTGTCCCGGCCAGCAGGATCATCCACCGGCACCACATCCGGAATGCGCCTAGCATGGAACTTCATGATCTGCCCATCTACATTGCGCTTGTTGGACCGACGGTAAATCCTCTTTACCAACGGTCCGTGCAAGTGCTCGAACATGTTGGTGCTGAATTCGGCCACATAACCCGTGCTACGAATGGAGTCGATGTAGTGCGACATGAGATGGGTTTTCACAAGGCACCAAGAGGATGGCTGCTTGGGGAAGGCAGCCTGCAACTGCTGAACGAGCCTGGTGGGAGTGGGAGATGACAACACATGCAGTCATATCAGAGTCCACGTTTTCATATTGTTTAGCGGGTCCTAATCCTTTCCTATACTAGTTTAGCAGCAACATTTACAGATTGCCTACTACAAGAGCACATTTACAGTAGCCAAACAATCATCCCATGCACAGGGGTTTACATGCATGGTATTAGTACCGGGAGGTCATCTTCTTCAGCTCCCGAAGGAACTGCTCTGTGTGCCCCTGTGGCTGGGAGCGCAGGAGGTACCAGCCAAGATAGGCACGAATGGTATCGATCTGGGGCTGGCGAAGCAGGCCGGCAAAAACAAACACCATAACCTGCAAGGTTCATGGATAGCAGCACAGGGAAGGGTGAGCGCAGATGGTGTGAGGAGTAGGGACAAAGAGGTGGCAGCATGAGCAGACTGGTAGAGGGGCGGTCAGGACAAGCAACAGGGAATGGAGGGGGGGGGGGGGGGCAGGCAGCAGGGTATGTGGGTTTAACATGAATTCGGGGTGCTGTTTGTATCGGGTGCAGCCTATCGCACAAGATGTTAACATCCAGGGCTATAATACCTGCATGACGGCCCTGTGCTCATAGGCCGCGACACAGGCTCCGGTCTCGAAGTAGGTGCTCTCCGGTAGGCGCATGTGATTCAGGCGCATGCGGTCGCGAATGAGTGACAGCGCCTGCCCATACACATCAGTTCAACGCAAGGGCAGAACCATGTCAGGGAGAGCACAGTACTTGTACTGTGTGTAAATGTGACCAATAGCAACGAATCCAATCCCCAAAACACTGACCTGTCCATCTGCTTCACACGCCGCTTCTTCATCTTGCGCACGACAGCCACAATGTGGCTCATGATGCCCAGGTCCGCCTGGTGCATGATGTCAGGCATGACCACGAGGTAGGGATTGCCCCACGCGGTCCCTGGGACATCCCACTTCCAGAGCACGCACTGGAAATGGGGATGCGGTAAGGAATGCAGGAGAAATGTACATGTGAGTTGGGATAAACCACATGTGGGGTGGGTTCAATAGTAGGGCAGAGCATATCTGGCAATTCATGATGGGGCAGGCGAGTGCATAGACGGCACATTAGCCGCGAAAACACATCACTCACCTCAACAGGGTAGGTAGAGTAGGTCTTGCACGGGTTGTCCTGGCTATTTGTCGTCCCAGCCGCCTCGTTAACGATCCATTGCTGCTGTCTAGGCGTGCGCGGCGTGTTCCGTGCCTTGACAGCCCCCAGATGCTCCTGGTGTAGCACAGGAATGAGGGATGGGATATGAAGGTAAGGGTGGTCACTACATGGAGTATATCAGGCCACACCAAAATCAAAATGTATTCAAATGCGTGCACATTCCATGTTACCTCACATATGCAGCATAGCAGATGCTGCACGGCATCCGCGATCCATGCGAGAGTGTGCAACTGATCTTGCCGCTCTCGGGGTAGTCGCACACCCAGGCGTACAGCAGTGGCCGCAGGGTTTGCAAATCACCGAAAGGGTCCCTGAGTCGGAACCCGCTGGATGGAACAGGCAAAGTGGCAACAGGAATTCGGAGGACGGTTTTTAGGGAGGAACAAAGATGGCATTAAATCAGGCAACATACAGAGACGCTTTCCATACTCTGCAGGTGGTTGGATGACGACATAGCAAGATGCAACCCGAGTACGAACCTTGCCATGCCATCAAGAAGCGGCTGCAGCACGGTGATGACGCATCTCTGGAAGAGCATAACCTTCTCCACGGCAGACATTGCAGACGGGGGGATAGGAAGGAGGGCAAGTAGTGTGTGCCCGGCTTTCCCCCATCGCTTGGCCTGGGAGATGTTGGCAAGCGTCATCATGAGCGGCCACGCCTTCTTCCGGCCGTTGTTGCTCATGTGCGTCACATCCGAATACAGGATGATCCCCCCCCACAACTTCGGACCATCCGAAGTGTTCCTGCAATGCACGACAAAGCGGTAACGGACACACGGTCAAACACTCAAGATGTTCCAGACACATCAGTGCATCGACGGAGGCATGAGCAAGGATTGGGATTGGTGTGGCAACAAGGTATTTCCTTACCAGAGCATCATTCCACCACGTTCCTGTTTCAGGCGGGGGTGATATAGCGACGGTCGCCCATGTCAGGGTCCTCATCAACACGTGCCTTAAGCTTGAAGCCAGGCGTGTTGTTCGTTTGAGTCCGCTTACATGGGCAGAGTTTTGGAAGAGCAGGCGCTGTGGTGGATGACCGGCAATCACAAAGGTCGCCACCGACCATCCGCGATTGAGCCCTGCCAAGCTCTCCAACTCGAACCGCTCCAGATCCTTCCAGTTCCGGAGCTCCGGGGTCACAAGAGGCGCAAGGCCGGGCTCTACCACGAGCTGAAGCAGGCCGTTAATGTCAACCTCGGTCATTCCCATTCCGCCATTCACGCGCCGAACGAAATGCAGCAGCTTCAACGCGAGCGGATTGAGGGGCGTGGCATTGCTCTGTCCGGAGCTGATTGTCGGCGGCGCGGCATTACTACCTTCGGGGCGGCTCTCAGGATGGCCACTCGTGTCAGCCGCAGATGTTCCAGGTTGATGTTGATGTTCATCTTCAGGAGCCCCCTCGTTCACAGCCGTGGGAGTTTCGTCAACGCGAGCTTCAGGCACGCTTGCAGGACCACTCTCACCGACGGCATTGGATGCGTTAGACGCTGTAGGTGAAGCGGGAGCGGCTGGATCATCCGACAGAATGTCGTGGACGAATAGCAGTGCGTGTAGACCGGCTGACGGTGTATATCGCGAGGGCCTTGCCACGGCGGAAAGCCCTTGACAAGGGGTCCGCCGTGACTTATGACCGCCATAAACTTGGGCGTTGGGGAACCATCTGTTGCAGAACTCGCAAACGACGCCTGGCAAAGAGCCTATGTGTTACGGATCCGTCTAAGTGTCGAGAAATGGCCTGTGAAGCAACGAGCGTCGTGGGAAGCTTGTGAACACATTAAATACACCGTTCAAGAAGGCTGTGGCTACAATACGGTCATCGCCAAACCGCGCACTGTCGAAGGCGGCTTGTATCACTGCACGACTGGCACTTGAGCGGGCCTCTCATGTTTGGGACTGGCTAACGATGTTCGAGCCGCGTGGTCGTGACAAGGCACGATACAGACCGCTCACAGCACGGATCGTCTTCCCTACAAGGCGTGTCGCCCCCGTCTAGACCGACCACGACGTGAGCAGAGGAGAATGCGCTGGATCTTAAGACGGTGGGTCTTGTGTCTGCGTTGCGAGCACGGTGAGAAGGACGTGCCTGTTGATTCAAGAACTTGGATGCGTGAGAGTCGAGGGGGATGAGGAAGAGTGGAAAGAGATCCGTTTCGATATGTGATTCAGTCGCGAATCGTTGTAGGGGGGAAATCGCGGTCACGTTAGTGAGCTCAAAGTGGTGCGCACGTCTAGAGCCTTAATACAAAGCAGGAGATTACATTGTACAATTACATTTTATCTATACACTCAAAACTTTGTTGATAACTATTCTACAATCATATGACAAATCCTGCTCAAGATCCACCCCTATTTGACAACGTGAAAGTTTAAAAACCGTCCAAGATCTCTAGCGTGCTCTGGAAACATACGAGAAGTACACAAGAGCTCCGTGCCCTGATGATGACGCATCGCCGCTTGTGCGTTTGGCCTGTGCTTCATACCACTCCTTCTAAGCACCTACATGAATGTCCGTGCAAGGTTGGATGACAATCCAACACCGTACCACAACGGATTCACCATGTCGCGCAACACTCAAGGCCCGAACGCTCCAACGTCGCACTGTCTAGACACTGTTGTCGATAACTCATCGCCGCTTGCGCGTTGGGCCTGTGCTTCATACCACAACCTCCATGCACCTTGTCGAGGGTCCACGCAAGAATTGAGCCCCATCCAACACCATTACACAACGGTTTCACCATGTCGCGCAAGCCCTGGCCGTGCACGCTGCAACGTCGCCCCGTTGGAACAGCTATGTCGATAACGCATCGCCGCTTGTGCGTTGGGCCTGTGCTTCATACCACTCCTTCTAAGCACCTATTTGAATGTCCATACACGGTTGAATGACAATCCAACACCGTACCAGAACTGTTTATCGTTTGTTACTATTAATCGTCGCATTAGAATATCGCATGCCGTGCTGGATAAGGACAAGGTGGAGGAGCACGAGTCAATGGAGGATCCTAACCACAGCATCGCCGACGTCGGTGGCTCTCCTCCTTCTGGTGGACGAGGGAAACATAGGCAGAGGAAGAGCGATGAGGAGGACGATTATGACACCGCCGTGCCCGGAGACATCACCACGCGGGCGAAGAGGCGATAGACGACAAGCAGTCCGCACGACACCGGTGGCGGGGAAGCACAGACAACGCGAGCCGCCAGTGAAGCTGGTGGCAAGGCGACGGGTCATACATTGCGCCAGAAGGGCCGACCCGCAGCAAGAAAAGCATCCGGCGGAAAGAGGGGCAAGAAAGCAGTGAAGAGGACGAGGCCGAAACAGGGCGATGTAGACCCTGGTGACGCCAAGGAGGAGGATGATGAGGAGGAGGATGCGGAGGAAGAGGAAGATAAAGAGGATGCGGAGGAGGATGACGCGGATGTTGGGGAGGATGAAAATGATGAGAATGATGGCGGGGAGGACGAAGAGGAGGAGGATGAGGATGAGGACGAGGAGGGCGGCGACGATGATAAGGAGGAGGAGGAGGAGGAGGAGGAGGAGGAGGAGGAGGAGGAGGAAGAGGAGGAGGAGGAGGAGGAGGAGGGAGGAGGAGGAGGAGGAGGAGGAGGAGGAGGAGGATGAGGAGGATGAGGAGGAGGAGGAGGAGGAGGAGGAGGAGGAGGAGGAGGAGGAGGAGGAGGAGGAGGAGGAGGGGGAGGAGGGGGAGGAGGAGGAGGAGGAGGAGGAGGAGGAGGAGGAGGAGGAGGAGGGAGGAAGAGCAGGGGGACGACGATAAAGAGGATGAGGAGGAGGCAGAGGAGGAGGAGGAGGAGGCAGAGGAGGAGGAGGAGGAGGAGGAGGAGGAGGAGGAGGAGGAGGAGGAGGAGGAGGAGGAGGAGGAGGAGGAGGAGGAAGAAGAGCAGGGGGACGACGATGAAGAGGATGAGGAGGAGGCAGAGGAGGAGGAGGAGGAGGCAGAGGAGGAGGAGGAGGAGGAGGAGGAGGAGGAGGAGGAGGAGGAGGAGGAGGAGAAGGAGGAGGAGGAGGAGGCGGACGTGGCGGCAGTGAAGGGACGGGGCGGGCGTGGCAGACGGCAGAGTGTTACAGGAAAGGTGGGGGGCCGGACTCGCCATTTCCGAAAACGCGGGGGAGTTGACGCGGTCGAAAGTGAAGGGGGTGGTAAAAAACAAGGGCGCCAGGGAGCAAAAGGGGATGGAGGAGGAAATGGTGGCCGCGCCAAAGGGGTTCCAGTGGGTACTGACGAGACTGAACCTGCAGTTAAACGTCGCAGCGGCCAGCAAAGCACCCCACGGAAAGATGGCAACGACAAGGCGCTGGCAGCAAAAAAACCGAAGGGACAGTAGAAAGGTGAGCGCCCTGACCAATACACCTGGCGTGGTTGTTGCACTCTTTGCTCAGCCGTGCCAAATAACACCATTCTTTACGTTGTTTTTCTTATGCAGGGAAGGAGAGGGTCGACGAATCTGCAAAGCAAGGTAAAGCCTCTTGTCTCAAAACAGTACACGAGTAAACCCGAATCAGATTCAAACCATTGATCTCATGCATGACTGTCTGGCCCTCTGTTGATACCGATCGACTCTAATTTCTTGATCCTACTCCCTCTCAATCCCAGCCCCTCGCGTTACAGGCATTGGGCCACCGGTAAGCGTGCAACGGATGCAGCTAATGAAGGGGGGCGGAAGAGCGAGTGTTACACCGCTATCCACAGGAGCACCAAGGTTCTTCACGCCATACTCCGGCCCGAGCAAAGTCGCTGCGACTGCACCCGGCGCGGCTAGAGGAAAGGAATCCGAATCCCCTCCATCAGCCCCCGTCACGCACTCCCCACTCGCCTCACTCTCGTACCCATTTCGGCCACTACACGCTTCTCCTGTCCGGGGCAGGGCGGTCTCCCCCCTCGCCGGTCCTTCGCGCGGGCATCAGCCAAGCACTTCTGCCAATCCCTTCCCTGAGCTCCCCTTTTCCCGCCAGCGTGATAGTGTGAGGGCACACGGGACTGCTGCAGCAGATGCTGAAACCCTTGGCCAGAGGGGGGATTCTTCACACCCTTTTCCAGTTTGTTACATAGCATGAGTTCCAAGCGCTGCGGTCTGAGATGTATGCCATGTTTGCACAGCTCGGCCTGCGTCCTGGAGTACCTGCCAGTTCTGCTGGCGGTTCCGCAGCCGTGCCTATGGCTGGCACCCCGCCGCCGATGAGTGCCGTGGACAAGGCACGAGTGCTAGTGTTGCGGGAGACAAATCCATTCCCGGAATGTGGCGGGCCAAATGGGCCGGGTTGGGGTTCACGTGACTACTGGGATGTGAGGCTTGGGGCTGACGTGGCGGTGTGGAAGGGTACAAGGGAGCGACGCGTGACGAGGCGACGCGTGCCAAATGGGTGGTGGGGACGTGGCATGGGGAGGATGGTGTGACGTGGCAAGTGGGGCTGGTTGCTGGTGGATGTGGTGGATGGAGGAGGGTGTGACGTGGCGGGATGTGAGGCTTGGGGCTGACGTGGCGGCGTGGAAGGGTACACGGGAGCGGCGCGTGACGAGGCGACGCGTGTCAGGTGGGTGGGGGGTGACGTGGCATAAGGTGGGTGGGTGTGACGTGGCAAGTGGGGCTGGTTGCTGGTCGATGTAGCGGATGGAGGAGGGTGTGACGTGGCAGGATGTGAGGCTTGGGGCTGGCGTGGCGGCGTGGAAGGGTACACGGGAGCAGCGCGTGACGAGGCGATGCGTGCCAATTGGGTGGGGGATGACGTAGCATGGGGTGGGTGGGTGTAACGTGGCAAGTGGGGCTGGTTGCTGGTCGACGTGGCGGATGGAGGAGGGTGTGACGTGGCGGGATGTGAGGCTTGGGGCTGACGTGGTGGCGTGGAAGGGTACACGGGAGCGGCGCGTGACGAGGTGACGCGTGTCAGGTGGGTGGGGGGTGACGTGGCATGGGGAGGATGGTGTGACGTGGCAAGTGGGGCTGGTTGCTGGTGGATGTGGCGGATGGAGGAGGGTGTGACGTGGCGGCGTGGAAGGGTACTCGGGAGCGGCGCGTGACAAGGCGACGCGTGTCAGGTGGGTGGAGGGTGACGTGGCATGGGGTGGGTGGGTGTGACGTGGCACTTGGGGCTGGTTGTTCCCTGACGTGGCGGATGCAGGAGGGTGTGACGTGGCGGGATGTGAGGCTTGGGGCTGACGTGTCAGCTTGGAAGGTTACGCGGGAGCGGCACGTGACGAGGTGACACGTGTCAGGTGGGTAGGGGGTGACGTGGCATGGGGAGGGTGGGTGTGATGCGGCAAGTGGGGCTGGTTGCTGGTGGACGTGGCGGATGAAGGAGGGTATGACGTGGAAAGTTCACACAATCCACCCTGTGGTCACGCGGCCACAGTCATAACTGATGGTTTCTCTCTCCCCATGTCGTGTTGTACACCCCACACCCCTGCGCAGAACAAAGCCTACTTAGTGTGCTCTCAGCTCCTGTTTCTGAACCCCCCGGAGAAAATCCAGTACTACCCTGCACCGGAGGAAGTGTTCGAGGCGTTCCCTGTCCACTTGTCTGCAGAAGGGCTCGAGTCAATGAAGCTGCTGTGGTTGCACAACGACAAGTCAACCATGGGTGTCTTCAACCACCAGATGTCGTCAACAAGGTCAACAATCAACACCACCCTCAGGCCAGCAGCATACGCTGGCATGGGCCTCTCCGATTACGCCAATGTGGTGGAAAGCCTGCCCACTGAGCTACATCCAAAGAAGTGGTTCAATGACGAGGAACTCCTGGCCGAGTACAGAGATGGTATGTGCGACTCGAACACACCATATCCCCCCTGCCCATATGCCAGTTGGCAGCTACAAAGAGCCGTACGGTGTTCCTCACCCTGACTCTCACCCCCCCACTTGATTTCTCTGCACCCCCTTTCCAACCCATACGCTCCCTGCCAAAAGAACAGTGGGGCCTCAATTGGCACTTTGACAAGGCCACCGGAACACCCTTCAGCAACCCCTTGTTTGCTTATGCGTTCAAGCTCTCCTTCAAGAGGGGCGGGGTCGTGTTCACCAAGTTCAAGAGTGGTGTGACAAGGTCAAACAGATGATACACTTTGCCGTCGTGGAGCGCCAGATCCCACACGATCCGGCTCAGGGTGCGTTCATGTTCCCGAACAAGTTCCTCATCGACGATGGCGACCTTGGAGATGTTGTTCTTGCCCACCGGGCGCTTGCAGGGCCCACCATTGAGTAGGCTATTTGACCTGGTGCTAAAACTGCTGGTTGTTAGACTGCTGAATAATGGTTGTTGTAAACTGGAATATTGAATGTGATTCTGAAATCCTCAATACCCAAAATAAAACAAAAACAAAATCCAGTTTTAAATAATTTGGTCACGAAATTGCACCAAAACGGATTGCGCGCGAATGTCTTCCGGAAAAGCTTGCGTGCCAAATTGGAACTTGACCCGACCCAAACCTTGTCGCGAGATGTGTGTCGGAGCTCCTATCAAATGACTCCAACCGTCGGTTGAAATTGAGTCCGGATTTTTTTAAGCGAAGTCCCAACCAAAATTCATCCAAACTTGGCATAGAGTTTCTGTGATGGAGCTTGATGAGGATGACGCAGACGACGTCACCCCCTCCCCCCCTCCCCTTGTTCAAGGATCCTCGTCGGCCATCGGCGATGAGGGGAGACTTGGTGCGTCGTCTGCAGTGCCGAGCGGTTGCATTGCTGGTGGCCAACTGTTAGAGATTAAGGACGGAGTCTATGAAGTTTAGGGACCCAAATTTCTCAAAATCGTTGGCTTAGAATTCTGGACAGAAATGTCGACTTCACAAGAAACGTCGTCGACAAAAACTGCACCGTTAGAATTCTCTCAAACTCGGGTTATGTTTTTCGGCGCACTAGGGGGTATGCTGCCACAGAAAATTAACTCAATCACAATAGTTTCACAAGTTCACAAGTTACACACTAGAGAGTTTTAGTAGCTAGGAACCAGGTAGGAGGGAAGAGGAGGACGAGAGGGAAGGTCCCAAGGAGTCCCCAACCAAGGAAACCCCATAAGAACAAAAGATTCCCTCCCTATAGGAACCCAACTTTCACCCTTGTCATTTTCCCAACCTCCACAATCCACCTCACCCAAGTTGGCCACACTTGCCAACCCAATTTGGTTTCTCCCAACCACTTGGCAGCATCTACAGTGATGGGGACGAATTTCCCAACCCCCAAAAGTCTATACCCCATATTGAGTCAACCCCACAACTTCCCATAGTTGCCGCATCACGATATGAAAAGCATACGAACTCCAACGTTCGTAACTTTCTTGTCCGTGCACCGATTGCGATGATTCTTGGTTCGTCGGAAAGGTCTTGAGCAGATGAGTCACTTCAGATATCTGCTCATGCCAGATCACATTCACACACACTCAGAAAATCCAAACCACACCAAACACAAATTCTTGCACACGCTCACACCACGCATGCAACACACGAACACATGATGGGAGGCAGACAGACGTGAATGCGAATGGTAGCATCACTCAACAAACTCCCCCTCTGGCTGCCAACCATCATCCCACATGCCATAGCTCAAGCATGCACCCTCAATGCACACTCATTCCAGCAAGTTTCATCCATTTCCCAATCAAGAAACATTTGCACATCTCCATTCCAGATCCCACTTCCAACATCTCCATTTTGCTCAAGTCTGCAGCACCCCTTTGGAGCATCTGTCAGGGCACTATCCTCCAAATCTTCTCAGTGTAGCCCCACAGCAATAGGCTATCTCATCCTCATTCATTCGCTCAGCCACACTCCCAGCTGGCACCACACATGGCTTTCCAAAGCTCGGATAGGAAAGCCGGTTAGGAGGGCGCACATCCCTCCTAGGACGGTCAGCCGTACGTGCGGCACCTTGTGGAGCACCTTGCTGCTGCTGCTGCGGCTGCTGCTGCTGCTGCTCCACCACCTCAGGTTCTCCCCCATCCTCAGTCACCCCAGAGATCTCCTCCTCGGAGACAGAAACCTCCACCTGCCTCGAAGGCCGTTGCACCTCATCGGCCTCAACGATCAGCGGTGTAGTTGGAAGCTTCTGCTGCTGCTGCTTCCACTCCTTGTAGTACAAGGACTCAAGGAACTTCACATCCCTTGACACAGTCAGCTGCTGGCTGGTCAAGTCCCATATCAGCCAGCCCTTGTGATCCTTGGCAAGCCCCAAGTGCACACCCCATCTCCCAGAAGCTTCCAGCTTTCCCCTCTTCTCCTTCGGCACATGAAACACCACCATGCAGCCGAACGCTCTCAGCATGTTGACTGCTGGTGCACTCCCATACCACTTGGTGTAGGGAACCCACTGCTTGTCCCCCACAGTCGCCAGCACCCTGTTCTTCACAAGGGCGACCTGCCGCAGTGCAGTCGTCCAAAATGGATCCGGCAACCCTGCACGCCCAAGGAGAGTGCGAGCACCTTCCTGCAGGGTCCGGTTGAATCGCTCAGCCACGCCGTTCTGTTGCGGGTTGTGAGGCACTATGAGCTGATGCTGAATCCCTTTCTTCTTCAGCACCGCCTCAAAATCAGCGCCAATGAACTCTCCTCCATTGTCGGTGCGGATCACCTTCACCTTGTGTCCGCTCTCCCTTTGAGCCCTCGGCATCCACTCCTTGAGAATAGCCGCTGCCACCTCCCCCTTAGTCTTCAGAGGGTACACCCACACCGCACGCGTGTGGTCGTCCACAATGGTTAAGAAGTAGCGGCTGCCCGAGAGAGAAGGGGCCATCATAGGCCCCACCACATCCATGTGTACAAGCGCGAGCGGCGCCTTGGCTGGTCCCGTGCTGCTGCTGAAGGGAAACTTTGTGAATTTAGTTTCAAGGCACATAGGGCAGCTCCCAATCTCCTTGGCTGCCCCCTTCTCCTCTATTCCCTTCAAGCTCCCACCCTTCACCAACTTCTGCAGCATCAGAATGTTGATGTGGCACAACCTCTCGTGCCACGTCTCCCAATCGGCCTCACCACTCCCGGATGAAGCCTTTGCCCATGCAGCTGTTGCATCCACACCAGCAAGCACCTCACCATGTGGCTGCCGTGGCTTGCGCACCTTCTTGACTGCATC